GGGGAGGGGGAAAGCAGGCATCCCTGCGTTGTGCCTGCAACTCGCCAAACGGTTCCCATGTGTTTTTCCGTCTGGGCACTGACCGTGGGGGTCAATAGTACGATGCTAGCTTTCCAGCTGAGTGGACTGAGGTCGGGGTGGGGACACCCTAGCTGGTGTCAAAGCCTGTGTCACCTCAGGCAGGGGTAACAAGGCCAAGGGGCACCCACACGTTTGCTGGAGGAGGGCGGGTTGGAAGGAGGCCAGGGACTTGGGAACAGGCTTCCGGGGTTTTCCAAGTTGTGTTTCCAGCATCAGCAGGCTTCCAGGAGCAGGACTGGGGGGTTGGGGGTTGGCGTTCTTCGGGGGAAGGCCACCAGCGCCCCCTGAGGGCCAGCAGGGGGATGGTGGGAGCTACAGCTGCCCAAGGTACAAAAACCAAGCTAGGGACCTGAGCAACCCTCCTTGCCCCCGCCCCCGACGGCCGCTGCGCCGCCCCACCCTAGCCAGTCCTTGCGCGCCCCTGCACAGGAACCCGCACCCCTCTGCCCCTCCAGGCCAGCCCAAGGCGCGAAACCATCTTGAATGGTTTAGGGGTGAAACAGACCCGCTGCCTTTCCTTCCTTCCCTCCTTCCAGGCCAGACATACGCCTGGGGGTCGGGGTGGGGGGCGCGTGGGGGGCAGGAGCTGGCTGCAACTTACATCTTGCGGGTGCGCGGGCGCAGCCTGCGGAGAGCCTGGGGTATCTGCTCCGAGTCGTAGGGCGACTGGTAGAAGAAGATGCGGACCTCCTCGTCCATCAGCACCCAGACGGGCAGGCTGAGCAGGCTCTGCGTGTGGGTGAAGCGGGCAGGGTGGGGCAGGGTGATGGCCTGCCAGATCTGGACAGCCCAGTCCAGCCAAGACATAGTACAACCCCTCGAGGGTGACCCTGAACGAACTCCACAGCAGTGAGCTTGAGGTGGTTGTTTTTTTAACACCAGAAAGTCTTTTTAAAAGCAATATAAATATACATACAGCAATGTATTATTATGAATCTCAACACGTTGAAGGGACCCTTTCTCAAGCTTTGCGCCTGGGTCCCAAGTCAGAGGGACATCCAGACATGAAGGTCTCCTGAAATAGCCACCCTGTGTGTGGGGCAGGTCACATGGGTGATGTGGTGACCGCTGTACTGGTCACACGGGTATCAGACGTGTTACCTGACCCACCTCCAGTGACCTGTGGGTTAGGGTCAGGGAGGTGGCGGGGCCTGCTCCAGGCCATACTGCTAGTAAGCGACAGAGCTAGGTTAGCAAGCAGAGCCAAGAGTATTCCTCAGGAGGTAGTGAGCACCCCGTCCCCAGAGGCATACAGGACAAGGCTTCTGGAAGTGGAAGAAGGGCACCCTCCTCAGAGGCCGCTGAAGGCTTCAGCTCTCCTGGCTCTCTCTGAAGAGCCCAGAGCTGGAGGTCTCTGTAGTCTTGACCCTGATGCCAAAATCTGGGGCAGGCAGCCCATTCCTGCTTGGCTTTGATTTCCATGTTAGACATGGGGCCTACAGTGCTCCGCTCTCTCTGGAGTGACGTGGGGATCTATGGTGAAAGGCACTCAAAACCCTGCTCCCTGCTTGGGGTGCCCAGGCTCAGAGGGAGCACAGAGGATGAAGGAGGAAGGAGGCAGGGGGTAGATGAGAAGGGCAGGGAGGCAGGACAGAGGCAGTAGCCCACCTGCGTTCCTCATTGGCTGCAGTAATGCTAGGCTACTGG